TGTAGAGTTCTGGCACTGGCTAGTCAATCACAGTGTTCCTAGAGGTGAAATTGATAGGAAGCCTGCTGCATCCCTACTTAATTATACCAACAGAAAACTTCTAGATTGAATGGAAAAAAGACTAATTTGAATTATAGAAATAGAGAATTGGCCAGGTATGTTGGCTCACACCTGTAATCCCAGCACTTTGGGAGGCAGAGGCAGACAGATCACTGGAGGTCAGGAGTTCAAGACCAGCTTGACTAACATGGTGAAACCCCGTCTCTACTAAAAATACAAAAATTAGCCATGTGTAGTGGTGGACATCTGTAATCCCAGCTACTCAGGAAGCTGAAGCAGGAGAATCGCTTGAACCTGAGAGACAGAGGTTACAGTGAGCCAAGATTGCACCACTGCACTCCAGCCTGGGCAACAGAGTGAGACTCTGTCTCAAAGTAAATAAATAAATAATCACGACCCCTCAATTAATTTCCAGACTTGAGCCAGTTTACAGACCCAGACCCCTTGAATGAGGGGGAAGCTGAGTCCCCTTGAGGAAGGACCCCACTACATTACCAACAATTTATGTAGTGAATCTTTTTCCCATCCTTCCCCAAGGAGACCTCTGGCCTTTTGCCAGGGTAACTGTGCACTGGGAAAAGGGAAATAATCAAACATTTTGGGGACTACTGGACATTGGCTCTGAGCTGACATTTTACTAGAGGACCAAAATGTCATTGTGGTCCTGTATTTAAAGTGGGGGCTTATGGAGGTCAGGTAATTAATGGAGTTTCAGCCCAGATCTGTCTTACAGTGGGTCCAACAGGTCCCTGGCCTCATCCTGTGGTCATTTCCCCAGTGCCAGAATGTATAATTGGCATAAACATACTTAGCAGCTGGCTAAACCCCCACATTGGCTCCCTGACTGGTAGGGTGAGGGCTACTATGGTGCGAAAGGCCAAATGGAAGCCATGAGAGCTGCCTCTACCTAGAAAAACAGTAAATCAAAAACAATACCACATCCCTGGAGGGACTGCAGAGATTAGTGCCACCACGAAGGACTTAAAAGAAACAGGGGTGTGATTCCCACCACATCCCCATTCGATTCTCCCATTGGGCCTGTGCAGAAGACAGATGGATTCTGGAGAATGAGAGTGGATTATCATATGCTTAATGAAGTGGTGACTCCAATTGCAGCTGCTGTACCAGATGTGGTTTCATTGCTTGAGTAAATTAACATATTTCCTGGTACCTGGTATTCAGCCACTGGCTTGGCAAATGCCTTTTTCTCCATTCCTGTCCATAAGGCCCACAAGAAGCAATTTGTCTTCAGCTGGCAAGGCCAGTAATATACCTTTACTGTCCTACCTCAGGGGTATATCAACTTTCCAGCTTGCACCACAATCCTATTAGGAGACACCTTGATTGTTTTTTGCTTCTGGAAGATATCACACTGGTCCATTATATTGATGACATCACACTGATTGAATCTGGTAAGCAAGAAGTAGCAAACACACTGGACTTATTGGTAAGACATTTGCATGCCAGAGGATGGGAAATTAATCCAACTAAAATTCAGGAAACTTCTACCTCAGTAAAATTTCTAGGGTTCTAAAAATTTCTAGGGGCCTGTTGAAATATTCCTTCTAAGGTAAAGGATAAGTTGCTGCATTTGGCCCCTGCTATAACCAAGAAAGAGACATAATGCCTAGTGGGCCTATTTGGATTTTAGAGGCAACACATTCCTCATTTGGGTGTGTACTCCAGCCCATTTATTGAGTGACCCAAAAGGCTTCCAGTTTTGAGTGGGGTCCAGAATAGGAGAAGGCTCTGCAACAGGTCCAGGCTGCTGTGCCAGCTGCTCTGCCACTTGGGCCATATGACCCAGCAGATCCAGTGGTGCTTCAGGTGTCAGTGGCAGACAGGATGCTGTTTGGAGCCTTTGGTAGGCCTCTGGAGGTGAATCACAGTGGAGGCCTCTAGAATTTTGGAGAAAGTCCCTGCCATCTTCTGCAGATAACTACTCTCTTTTTCAGAGAGAGCTTGTGGCCTGTTATTGGGCTTTGGTGGAAACTGAATGTTTGACCATGGGTCATCAAGTCACCATGTGACTTGAACTGCCTGTGATAAACTGGGTGCTTTCTGACCCATCTAGCCACAAAGTGGGCTGTGCACAGCAGCATTCCATCAGCAAATGGAAGTGGTTGATCATATACATGATCAGCCTTGAGCAGGTCCTGAAGGCATGAGGAAGTGGCTCAAATGCTCATGGTCTCCACTCTTGCCACTCTGTCTTCTATCCCCTAGCCTGCACCAATAGCCTCATGGGGAGTTTCCTATAATCAACTTGACAGAGGAAGAGAATACTAGGGTCTGGTTCTGCACGATATGCAGGCACCACCTGAAAGTGGACATCTGCAGCACTACAGCCCCTTTCTAGAACATCCCTGTAGGACAGCAGTGAAGGGAAATCTTCCCAGTGGGCAGAACTCTGAGCAGTGCACAGCCAATGGTTTGGCTGTATGGTCAGGAACTTGGAAGAAGCATGATTGGAAAATTGGTGACAAAGAAATCCGAGGAGAGGTATGTGGATGGATCTCTATGAGTGGTCAAAAACTGTGAAGATATTTGTATCCCATGTGAGTGCTCACCAATGCAATACCTCATCAGAGGAGGATTTTAATAAGTAGATAGGATGACCTGTTCTGTAGACACCACTCCGCCTCTTTCCCCAGGTACCCCTGTCATTGCCCAAGGGGCCCATGAACAGAGTGGCCATGGTGGCAGGGATGGAGGTTACTCATGAGCTCAGCAATATGAACTTCCACTCACCAAGGCTGGCCTGGCTATGGCCACTGCTGAGTGCCCAATTTGCCAGTAGCAGAGACCAACACTGAGCCCTTGATATGGCACCATTCCTAGGAGTGATCAGCCAGCTAGTTGGTAGCAGGTTGATTATATTGGACCTCCTCCATCATGGAAAAGGCAGAGGTTTGATCTCAGTGGAATAGACACTTACTCTGGTTATGGGTTTTCCTCTCTTGCACACAGTGCTTCTTCCAAGACTACCATCCATGGACTCACAGAATGCCTCATCCACCATCATAGTATTCCACACGGCATTGCCTCTGATCAAGGCACTCACTTTATGGCTAAAGAAGTGTGGCAGTGGGCTCATGCTCATGGAATTCACTGGTCTTACCATGTTCCCCATCATCCAGCTGGATTGATAGAATGGTGAAATGGTCTTCTGAAGTCATAATTACAATGCCAACTAGGTGACAATGCTTTGCAGGGCTGGGGCCAAGTTCTCCAGAAGACCATGTATGGTCTGAATCAGCATCCAATATATGATACTGTTTCTCCCATAGCCAGGATTCATAGCTCCAGGAATCAAGGGGTGGAAGTGGAAGTGGCACCACTCACCATCACCCCTAGTGATCCACTAGCAAAATTATTGCTTCCTGTTCCCATGACATTATGTTCTTCTAGCCTAGAAGTCTTAGTTCCAGAGGGAGGAATGGTGCCACCAGGAGACACAACAAAGAGTTAATTAAACTGGAACTTAAGATTGGCACCTGGACACTTTGGGGTCCTCCTACTTAAAGGTAGTCACTTAGTCAACAGGGTAAGAAGGGAATTACAGAGTTGGCTAGAGTGATTGACCCGGACTGTCAACATGAAATCAGTCTACTACTCCACAACAGAAGTAAGGAACAGTATGTATGGAATACAGGAGATCCATTAGGGTGTCTCTTAATATTACCCTGCCCTGTGATTAAGGCCAATTGGAATCTACAACAGCCCAATCCAGGCAGGACTACAAATGGCCCAGGCTTCTCAGGAATGAAGGTTTGGGTCACTCCACGAGGAGAAAAATCGCAACCTGCTGAGACGCTTGCTGAAGGCAAAGGAAATACAGAAAAGGTAGTAGAAGAAGGTAGTCATCAACACCAGCTCCAACTACATGACCAGCTATAGAAATGAGGACTGTAACTGTACGAGTATTTCCTCTTTCTTTTGTTAAAAACATGTTTGTGCATGTATACACTTGTACTAAGAAAATATCTTTATTTTCTTTTTCTTTACCAAGTAACATAAGATTTATTGACCTCATATCAGCACTTAAGTATTGTTAACTTTATGTGATAGTATTTGAGCTGGAGATTGGCATTTCTGGTTGTATGAAGGATAGTTGTATTAAGGTAGGCATAATTATGACCTCATTATTGTCTTCATTTGAATGTTATGTATGATATCAGTAGATGTGTATGGGTTCAAGTTGACAAGGGGTGGACTTGTGATGGTTAATACTGAGTGTCAATTTGGTTGGACTGAGGAATACAGAGTATTATTACTGCATGTGTCTGTGAGGGTGTTGCCAAAAGAGATTAACATTTGAGTCAGTGGGCTGGGGAAGGCAGATCCACCCTTAATTTGGTGGGCACAATCTAATCAGCTTGCAGCCGATGTAAAGCAGGCAGAAAAAAATGTGAAAAGGAAATGGGCCTAGCCTCCCAGTCTACGTCTTTCTCCCATGCTGGATGGTTCCTGCCCTCAAATATCAGACTCCAAGTTCTTCAGTTTTGGAGCTTGGACTGGCTCGCCTTGCTCCTCAGCTTGCAGACAGCCTATTGTGAGACCTTCTGATTGTGTAAGTTAATACTTAATAAGCTCCTTAATATTAACTTAATATTAAGTATTAAGTTAATAGTAAGTTAATACTTCATAATACTTAATACACACACACACACACACACACATATATATATGTATATGTATACATATATATAATATATCTCCTATTAGTTTTGACCCTATGAGAGAATCCTAATATAATGGATTACTGGGAGAGGGCAATTTATAACTTCTAAATCTGCAATAACTCATTCGTAAGAGAGAAATGAGATAATGGTTATCCTTCAACCATATCCTGCAATACCACCCTCCTTTCAGAAATCAAGGACAAGTCAATACTTATACCAGAAAGATACTTATATTTAAAAAAAAAAACCCTCTGAATATGGTAAAATTGATTGTTTTTTGACTGACACCACATTTTACTCTTGTACACATTTTTGGTTTTGTCATTGCTCTAGGCAATAGAGAGGAAATTGCTCTGTAATATTATTCCTCTGTGTTTGACAATAAAATCCAAGAAAAATAAAGTCTTCCTCCAGTCCAGTGAGTTAGGTGATTGAGATGAAAACTCCCAGTTTTATAGGTAGGTAGAGTTGTGAATTATAGGTACTGTTACTTAAAAAACTACATTTTTAAGACCAGGATAGGGAATCCATATATACAATTCTCTCTGTCTTATGCAGCCTTGATTATATGAAACAAATAAACCAAAATTTCTATTTTAAAAAAATGTTTTGAGACATAGTAAATTAGATTTTATTTGCCACAAGATTTTTACAACTGATAATAAAAAAATTTCTTCAACAGAATTCTTATTTACCCAAAAACTGTAATCCACTGACTCAACTTAAAAGCTTTTTTCATATCAGTTGAGTATAATATCCTTGTTCTATTTTTGTATCCTTAATAGCCCAGTTTGAGCAATTTGCAGGAAAAACCGTTTCTGTATTCTGCAGATGTACTCAGCTGGGCCATTTATATTTGTACATGATCATTTCTGGTAGTTCACTGACAGTAGAACCAGGTGGTAAAACTTTTTTTCTTTTACAAAATGCATCATAACTTATAGATATTACAATAGGCCTCAGTACTAGGGTTGTTCTTGATTTCATCAACAGGAGGTACATTTGCAGGTGAGTCTGTGTGCCTGTGTGTGCAACAAAAATGGCAGCCTCTCGGTGTAATGACATATTCTCTAGATTCCTAGACTCACTTTTCCTTCAGTGTTTAAACAAAAAAGTCTGTTGAATTCTCTTCTCACATATTATTGGAAACCTAGCATATTTTTCCATAGCTACATTGATTCCTATTGGGTTTGATCAATGGGGGGATGTCACTTGCATTTTTTCTGATCACTCTGACTTCTAGTTCTTGCTCCATTGAATTATCAAGTTCTTCTCAGCCTTTCACTTCCTATCTGTAAGGCCATATTTTACTCTGCTTTACACTGTCCAAACTGTTTACTACTAAAGTCCTCTGAGTATAGGATATGTACATAGCAGATTTTCCTGAAGGACTTGGGGGACTAAATGAGAAATATATAAAATATGTAACATATTTGATGTCATCTAACCTTCAGTGTTAGACAGCCTTGGTCTTAAACGTCACTTGATCATTCTCACTGCAGTTAACCATCATCAGTTATACATCTGACTTTGGCTTTATCCTATTGTCATGCTCCTGGATTCCCCTTTCTTTCTTCAACTGTTTTCCCTCTCTAGCTTGCTGATCTCTAACCCAAAATTCCTGTCCATGACAAAGAGCTTTCTTACTCCAGTCTCATTCAGTCTTAGCATTTTCCAATACTTTATTCATATCCCGAGTAGAAGAATATTAACTTGAATAACTATACCTGGCTTTGCTCTGAAGGTCTTATCTCTGTTGCCCGACTACCCCTTGATATAATTTCTACGGTTAACTCATAACCTTAAAATGTTTTACTAAAGAGGGATACATACTAAAAATTTTATAGAATAAATTATTTGTCTGGGACTTGCTTGAAAATAATCTGAGAGAGATGAGTGAGTAAAGGTAGAGACGAAATGGTATTGACTATGGGTTGTTGTGTCAACAATGTTGTGTTGTATCAATATTGACCATAAGTGTTGAAAGTGGGTGATAGGGACATGGGAATCTATTATATTTGTTTACTTTACCTTTGTATATCCTTAAAATATTCTATAATAACAAGCTAACTTTTTTCTACTATGTATTATAATACAGTTAATCTATATTATAATATATAGATTATAGTATACATTATATCAATAATAATTATAATAGGTAATTATGTAGATAATTACTATAAGCCAATCTAAGAGATTAATAGACTAAAACTCAGGGTAAAAGCAAATACTGGAAGGGAGGCAAACTTAAGGATACACTGAAAAAATTGTAAGGAGAGATGCCATTATAACAAATGTATTTGTTACCTTTTAGTGCACACAAAAATTACCAAAACTTAGTGGCTAAAAACATCAGACATTCATTATCCCAAAGTTGTGGATCAGGAATCTGGGCAAAGTTTAAGTGGATTTCTCAGGATCAATATGCTTTGCAAGGGTGCCATGAAGTTGTTGGCTGGATCTCCAATCATACGAGGCTGGGCTAGATGAATATACCTGTCCAAAAACACATTTATGTAATTCTTGGCAGGTCTCAGGTCCTTACTGGCTGTTAGCCAAAGACATCAGTTTCTTGTCCACATGGTTCTCTCCACAGGGGAACTGTACAACGTGGAAGAGGTTTCCCTTAAAGAGTGATTTAGGGAGCATCTTCAGGTAGAAGCCAGGGTCTCTTTGTAATCTAATCTCAAATGACATACCATTGCTTCCTCTATATTCTATTTTTCAGAAGTATGTCAATAGTATGACCTTCATGGACACTCCAGGTGAGTTCCTGGAAACAGAAAGTTTGAAGTTAGGAGAAGGCTATCATTTGGGGCCATGTTAGAGGCTACCTACCACAGTCTAGACTCTGGGCCCCAATAATTTACATTTCTCTCACATCCCAAATACACTCATTCCCTCCCAAGGTCCCCAATGTCTTATTTCATTACAGTGTCAGCTCAAAGTTCAGGATTTCATCAACTAAGTCTGGTCCAGGTACAAAAGAGATTTCTCAGGGTTAATTCCAAAGTTCAGCTCCTTATGTGGAGTTTCTCTTACTATAGAGACCTGTGAAAATAAAAATCCAGGCCAGGTGTTGTGGCTTACGCCTGTAATCCCAGCACTTTGGGAGGCCAAGGCAGGTGAATCACCTGAGGTCAGGAGTTTGAGACCAGTCTGGCCAACCTGGTGAAACGCCGTCTCTACTAAAATACAAAAATCAGCTGGGTGTGGTGGCAGGTGCCTGCAATCCCAGCTATTCAGGAGAATGAGGCAGGAGAATCACTTGAACCTGGGAGGCGGAGGTTGCAGTGAGCAGAGATCACACCATTGTACTCTAGCCTGGGCGATAGAGTGTGACTCTCAAAAAAAAAAATCCAGGTTCTCTGCTTCTCACACATCAATATACAGTGGTGGAACAGGTATAGGATAAAAACTATAAATATTCCTTCAAAAACAGGGAAAATGTGGGGGGCACGAAGGAGTCTCTGATCCATAATGGTCTTTTAGGCCAACTGACAGTGCCATGGACTACACCATGGTAACCTCTATGACTTGCATGGACACTCCAGATGAGTTCCTGGAAACAGAAAGTTTGAAGTAACTGGAAAACCACAGAAGTGAATGATCAAACCCTGTGGCGCCTAATTAACTTTGAGACATTCTCTATTGTTCCTTATTCCCACTGTAATTGATAAGGCAAATGGACTTTATAACTGACCTTGGTCAACCTAGTGACTCCAGACCCTATGACCCCCTTCCAGCTTGCAAAAACCTCCCTAAACTGTAACTTCTGTAACTTTCCACTGCCTACCCCAAACCTATAAAACCAACTCCTATCCCACTGCCCTCTGCTGACTCTCTTTTCAGGCTCAGACCACTCTCACCTGGGTGAATAAACAGCTTTGTTGCTCACACAAAGCCTGTTTGCGGGGTCTCTTCATTCAGAGCATGCGTTTTAACTGATAACAATTCTAAAATCTAACCGGACAAATGTTGGAAATTCCTTAATTAGGTATTAAGGCCTACCAATAATTCTCTATGGCTGTTGGCTCTGCCGTCTGGGATTAGACTAGTCTGCCCAGGCTACTATCAAAACACCACTACCTGGGTGCCTTATAAACAACAGAAATTTGTTTTCTCACATTTCTGGAGGCCAGAAGTCCAAGATCAAGCAAGGAAGCCTTTCTTCCTGGCGTGCAGATGGCTGCCTCCTCACTGTGTCCTCACATGGTCTTTCCTCTGTGTGTGTGCAGAGAAACAGGGTGGGGGGAGAGAGAGAGGTCTAGTTTCTCTTCTTTTTATAAGGACCCCTGTCTTATCCAATCAGGGCTCCACCCTTATGAGCTTATTTCAAATTTTAAGTATCTTTCTAAAGCACTATCTCTGATACCATCTCATATGAGGTTAGGGCTTCCACATATGAATTTTGGGGGAAATGCTTTGGTCTATAACAAGGCTCTTGGTTCTGCCTGCTGGATCACCCTCCCCTTTTCGTGAAAGATGTCACATGTTTTCATATCAGTAGTTTCCTTGCCTACTTTCTGACCTTTTAGGGCTCCAGCTTCCTCTTTGTACTGCCTGTCCTTTTCAACCCAAGGTGGCAGTGGCACATCTTTAATCTTAAAGGGCCTTTTGTTTGACAGAATAGTTCTCTGAGGCACTGCCTTTCTAAGGTCTTAAGAAAAGACTTTGCAGTCAAATCTTCATATCCAGATCATGTTTTCCAGGTAGTGCTCCAAATTTGATTCTTTGCTTAAAAGCCATTTCCTAGCATTGTTTGCTGTTTGAGGAGGCTGAGAACTTTTGAAGTCATCAAGTCCTAGCTCTTTTTTGTTTAACAGTACTTTCCTGAATTTATTTCTCTCTTTTTGCATTTTACTATAAACAGCAGAAGAAACCAGGTGGCAGCTTCAACATTTTGCTTGAAAATTTTCTTAGTTAGATCTTCCAGCTTGTTAGGCACATTTTTTTACTTCCCAAGTTATTACAGGTGCACTAGGTTTTCTGCTGCTGCATGGCAAACAGCTCTTATTCCAGTCTCATCCAGTCTTAACATTTTCCTCCTTTCCTTCAGACCCCTTGCCAGCAGCATTCTCAAAGTCCAGATTTATATTAGTTTACTCAAGGAAGTTTAGGCGTTTTCTCATACTTTTTTTTCAAAATACCTTTTATCTTTTATTAACCAGTTCTAAAGACACTCCAGCATTTTTAGGTATTTATTATAATAGCATCCACTTGTTAGTACAAAACTTTGGAATCAGTCAGAGAAGCATAATATAAATAAATGATTTTACCATAAGCAATTGTGAGAACTAGCTAATCAGTCTCTGTAACGTTGTTGCCTGCATGTCTGCTACTAGAATTTGATGTGCATAAGGCTGGGGGCAAGAGAAGAGACAAAAAAATAAACCTGGAACCCACAAGCACAAGCAGGAATGAAATGCTTGTTGGTTCTTGTTATCTTTTACCTTGTCAGTATGAGTGGTATACCCATACTGAAGTCAGAATTCTTCATCACAAAGCTAACACACATATGTGGTCCAGAGTTGGCAAAGCTGAATGCAGAACTAGATAAAGATAGAAGCTTTGCAATCTAAGTCACTGTCTCACACCTATGACTTGAATCCACAATTCAGCAATAAGGTGGGAACTACAGAATCTACAGTGGAGAAGATGCTATCTTAGCCAAATGTTCATCTTATTACTGACATCATCAGTAATAAGACACATTGGCATCATGTACCTAATGATATAACACACCGATGAGGACATGTCTGATCTTTGGTATTTTTGCTAAAATTACACAACTGAATTTAGTCATGTGGAAACATCAGAAAAATCCAAATTGAGAAACCTTTTGCAAAACAACCAAACAATACACTTCAAAAGAGTCAAGGTTGTGAAAGACAAAGTCTGAGGAACCATCCAGATTACTGGAGTCAAAGGAGAATGACAACAGAATGCAGCATGACCTCCTCAATTGGATTCTAGACCTGAAAATAGATATTAGGGGGAGACCGGCAAAATTTGAAAGGAAAACATGTGGATTTGCTTAATAATACAGTAATTTGGGGTAGTTCAGTGAAAGGCATACAGGCATAGTCCAACAATATTTGTATAACTTTTTTGTAAGTGTGCCAGTATTCAAAATAAAATGTTTTTTTTAAAAGCTTTAATTATTTAAATAATTATTATTTAATTATAAATAAATAATTAGCCGAGAAGTAGTTGATATGGTTTGGCTGTGTCCTCACCTAAATATCATCTTGAATTATAACTCCCATAATTCTCACCTGTCATGGGAGGAACCAGTGGGAGGTGACTGAATTATGAGGGCAGGTCTTTCCTGCATTTTTCTCATGATAGTGAATGAGTCTCACAAGATCTGATGGTTTTAAAAATGGGAGTTTCCCTGCACAAGCTCTCTCTTCGCCTGCTGCCGTCCACATAAGATGTGACTTGCTCCCCCCTGCCTTCCATCATGACTGTGAGGCTTCCCCAGCCACCTAAACTGTGAGTCCAATTAAACATTTTTCTTTTGTAAATTGCCCAGTCTCAGGTATGTCTTTATCAGTAGTGTGAAAACAGACTAATACAGTAATTTTACCAAGAAGACATGAATGTTAAGAGTATAGGCCAGGAAGTGGGCTGTAGTACCAGAATTGTCTGAAGAATAAGCTCATAGTTGAAACACATTACTTAGCCATTCCTAACCACAGATTGCTTGTTATAGGTGAATGGAAGACCCATCATGGAATGGGCACAAGAAGAAAAAAGAAAAAATGAATTGATATCTTGAATTATCCCCCTGACAATTGAACATCATTCAGGTCTAACCTGGCTTCTAATGAAAGTCTTCCCTTCATTTACATTTCTACTGACAATAGCTTGTGAGGTGCACTCATCCCACACACTCCTCCAGTAAAGCACCATTGTTCTCAAAGGGTCCGTGTTCTGACTTCACTCATGTCATATGCTTTCTCCTCTCTGCTATCAGGTTCCTGCTGCTCACGGGGCTGCACATGCCTACTCTCGCCCTTCATTTTTCTGGATTATTTGCATAAAGCATAAAGTCAATTTCAACCACTTCATCACATCTTTCCCTAACATGTTTTTTCCATAGCTACTTGGGACTTAGTTCTTTCTGTTTTGAGTTGTTTAGTATTTATTTCATGGTCATTATTAATAGTTACATTTCTTTTCCCTATAAGAAATATGTCACTTGAACATAGTGATAATGACATATGCTCTTTTTTTCATACTGGGAAATATTTAGAATAGTACTGGAAAATAGGAGATGCTAAATATTAATTCATTATTTGGTATTCTACATTAGTTTAAAAAGAAAAGTAAAAGTCTAAGCACTATTGTACATTATTTCCTAAGTTGCAACGGCAGCTTAATTTCTGTATCCTAGAGACATAAAAAACTCCTGACAGACAAAAGGAAATAAATTTGATTTCTAAGTTTTCAATATATGATTTGCAGCAAAATGATAATCATAAATATGTCACGCTTTTAAAAGCGCCAAGGAAACATCTTGGTTTGCTGTTTCTGTGTATTTGCCGTTATTGTGTTCTAGCACGTTTCTGTTTTCAGAGTCCGTTTGTGACTGCATCAGGCCAATCTGATTCGACTTTTATGTATCAAAGTTGCAAGTTCTTTTTTGGTTGCCATGGACCCCCAGGTTTAAGATCACCTAGCCTGAGCATGCCCACATGAACCAGGTGTGCAACCAGAGGGAACCTTAGTGCTTGAACTGAGGAGTAGGGAGTAAATTACAATGAGATACCCCATAGAAGGATTTAAGATCCAATTAGGCCAAGCTCATGGCAGGATCCAGTCAGATCACCTTATTTCAAGATCCAATCAGATCACAGCATCACCTTATTCCAAGATCCAATCAGATTGTACCTTATTACCCTATGCTTATAAAACCTGACCCAGCCTTAGCTTGGGGAGACACTGCCTTGGGAGCTATCCCTGTTGTTCTCTTTACTTGTTGCAAGTAATGAAATCCCCTTATTCCTTCTTGCAGGAGACAGTTAAAAAAAAATCCCCTGGTTTAGTGTTCCTTGGTTTTGGACATTGGGTTGTCACCTGCCAAGTGACTCTACTCACTCATTCTGTAGGTAGTGAATTCTCCTTGACATTTTGAAGTTCTCTTTACAATAGATGGCTCTGAAACTATGTTTTAAAAAAGCAAAACAACCAAGACAGTGTGAATATAAAGATACGAGGAACAATTTTATAGATTATTCATACCAATCATCCCAATAATTTCCCAAGATGCTTTTCTTGTAGGTGAAGATATATCCACCAAAAATTCCACTGGATAAGTCAAAATCATGTTATCTAGCGCTTAAAGAATTACATAATTTTACTATTACTTAATTATACATTTTATCTAATACAATCTTGATTTTGTTAATATTCCATCTATTCATTTATTCAACAAATGATTGCTAATAATTTACTAATTGCTAGGTATGGTTTCTGCCTTAAAAGAGCTAGTGAATTCTAGTTTCTAATTCTATAGAGTGATTTAATTTTCTATGTAAGAAAGTACCTTAACTTAACTAATTTTTTCAGGCATTTTGTAGACTTCCTAAATGATTCCGTTTTTCTAAACAGTTCGAAAAATTTTTTTCATGAACATGTTTAAAAGCTAGAAAAATTAAATTTTCTAAATATATGAATACTTTTAAATATGATTTAAAATAGATTTCACTTCTGGCAGAGAAGTTACCTGTGGTTTATAGTGAAACAGGTTGCTCAATGATTTATATTCTTTAAAGGTGGCTGTCCCTATGGAAGACTCAATAAGTGAAAGAATGACGCTCAGAAATCCCTTGGCTTGCTGTCCCCTAAATCAAGAGCTATATTTTAATATTAGTGCTTGGAAGATAAACACTGCAGCCTCCAAGGGAGGTGATCCTTACCGGGTATCAAATGACTCCAAGTGGGAGAACAGAGAGACGACTCAGCTGTTGACAAGCAGAGCTAAGTAAATATTTACACCAGGAATGTACACATTTGCCATAATAACATTACCCCTACTCAGCCGCCCCAGTAGATAAAGAGGTATTTTAGATTCCTCCCAGGAATATGGTATTTGTAGGATACTATTTTAAGTTAAGTAGCTTTTGGTGGGATGTTAAATAGGATTTCTATATAGAAAAATAGACTAGATACCTGAAAATCCCTTGGATAATTTGACAGAGCCCCAGCCAATGTTCTTTGTGGTCAGAGGCCATCACTTGACTAGGCTAAAATATCACCAGCAAGTCTCTTCTAGTCAGCATGCCCTGCTTTGCTAATGCCTGGTACAGAGTGGTGCTCTGCTCAACTGGGAGAATATTACTCAGTATTAGGAATGATCTGATATCCTCTCTTCATTTTGACAAATGAAATATAGTCCTGGAGCAAAAAAAGAGCCTTTTGCAGTTCCATCTTCCGGACCATTACTGAAGGCATGGTATACAGAAACCCAATTAACTTTTTTTCCCTTTGCTAGAAATGGCACACACATTGCCAATTTTCCTTCCAAAATTCAGAAGTGATACAACAATTAAGATGCATTTCTGCGTAGAAAATGGTAGAGTCTAGCAGCTCAGCATATACTCACTCCAAAGCTGAAAACTGTATTTTCAGACAGTCTTCTCATTACAGGAGACTTTTGTAAGCTTGCTCTGATTCTTTGAATAGTGAGTTGTCTTGGTTGAGGTATTTTAGTTTGCCTAGTAAAGCCCCCATTATCATTTTCTCAGTGTAGGGGAAAAGTCCTAGTTAATTAAATCACATCCTTGAATTGCATCCATTTCAATTATTTTTACAATGTGATGCAATAACAAATGTTATTTTAAAAAATCACATTAAATGAGTCACAATCAAATGCTAAACCACCTGAAACATAGCTTAGTGAATGAGGAAAATATGCCACTGAAAAGAAGCTGAAGAATAGAGAAATTTTTCTTGAATTTATAATTACTATAGACTCTGGTGTGAAGTATTGAACAAGTTACAAGAGCCTCAGTATGGCTAAGAATCTTTGTTTCACTGTAGCCTCACAAGAACAAAAGAGAGATTCCTGACTCACATGGGCTGTTCTTCATTTCTCATGTTTTTTTTTGGAATTACCAGCAGTTTTTTCAAACCAGGTTTCAACCAGGTTGAAAAAAATAGGTTCACTTTTGCCAGATACCTTAAAATAAAGAACAGCACAGTGCAAGTCAGGCAAAAGGAGAAATCTTGAATAACAATTTTTCAATGTGTAAGTTGCTTCAAGATTCTCTGTTTTTATAATAAACAGTGCATACAATGAAAGGAAGAGAAAATACCAAGTGTCTGAGAAGTCCATCTCAGAAACTGTAAAATGAGAAAAATACCTTCTGAAAACTCTCCTAATATATCTCTCAGGACTGAAAGAAGTATAACTATTTTAGGCCTGCCCTTCTGACCCCACTTTCTTTCTAGCAAGTCAACAGAATTCAATAATCAAATGCTTCAAATGATGCCAAAAGGTCTGACATAATGCCCAAGCACAGTTATTGGAATTACAGCGGGGGACAGGCAGAAACCATAGGTGGGTCTTTGTTGAGTCTAGGTCTGATTCAAAACCAAGAGAAAAACAATAAAAGCATCAAGCTAAGAAGACAATTGTATGTTTGGCCTTCCGGCAGAGACAGTGGTAGAATTATTAGAAGTCCACATTGTCTCAAAGTGAGTTTCTGGATTTCCTGTATCATAAATTCCCTTTTGAGACTTTCAGAACTGCCCATATTCAAAAACAAGGCACCGTGTAAAAATAAGATTTAATTAGGGACCCAGGAGGTGGTGAAGATTTAGTATTATGCAATCAAATTAAATATTCTTTTGTAGCTTTTTATTTTCTTGTAACTTAGCTAAGTTGCTCAGAATATAATAAATCTGATGCAGTATAAGCCCAAGTAATTAACTCAATAGTGGCAAACACTATGACCTTCTCAGAGAGTACCTGGTTTTCCACTTTTGTCTGAATCAATTTCAAGAAGAATTAAATTCAAAAATAATGTGGAAAATTATCTGATCCAGTGTGCAAAAATTCAGGGTTCTGTTAGAAAGAATAAAATTTTACCATATGTCTAAGAATTTAGAGAATATATTTCAGTGAGCTCTGTCCTTGTTCTAAGTGTCCACTGTGGAATAGCTAGGAAAGCACTGGGGTTTACTTCTGATTTCATTCATTCACTCATTCACTGTCTCTCCCATTTATTATTTCCATAAATATTTGTTGAGAACTACTATGTCTTAGGACTTGTGCTAGGCATCAGTGATACAATGTTGATCAAAACCAGATTTTGTCTTCCAAAGTTTATTAGTCTAATGAGGAGGAGGTATATGTTTCTAAATAATTGCTATATTCTAGATTGAAAAGAACATGATGCTATGAGTGTAGGGCTCAACCAATCTAGGCATCCAGGGAAAGTTTCCTTGAAGAAGCAGGATTTAAGCCTTGATCTAAAGAATGAGTAGGAAGAGTTCACTATCTGAAGAAGAAAGGACAATCAGGTAGAGGGAACAGCATCTACAAAAGTCATGGGGAAGCCGAGAGCACAGTGTTTTGGAGATGGTAAAGCCAGTGTTCCTAGGGATAACAACATCCTAAAAGCAATGAGTAAACTCAGTGTCCAGATCTTAGTTTCAAAACATCACTTTTTATTAAAAAGGGACAGTATTTCTCAGATAAAAGGCCACATTCTTCCAGGACATCTTGATGTATCAGAAAGTAAGAAAGTGTTGAAAGAAGAAATGGACTTGGGACTTGGAACTTGTCAAATAACACTGAAGCAACTCCAAGAGGTTCCTTTTGACCAAATTTCTGACCATTTGAGTACCAAAATAAATGATAACAACAGATTATAAAACATGGAATAAAATAATAAACCATGAGTATGTGTTGATCAATTAGGCATGAATAAATTAAAAAATTGATAACAAATAGGATATTCATATAGTCTGAAATTACTTTCCCACAAATATTTGTTAATTACACAGCAAAAAATAATACTTTACAATCGAGAACTTGGCAGACACCACCTTAAGTGATCAATGTTAACATCGTTAGTATTGGTACAAAATGAAATTGTGTGCCATTTTATAGTAGTGAGAAGAACACAGATTATTTCTCTAACATTCCTACAAAAGTATATGACTATCATAAAGGAAAATCAGAACAATCTAAATTGAAGGACATTTTCCAGAATAATTGGCTTGTAATCTTCAAGTTTCAAGGTCCTAAAAGTCAAGGGATTCTATAATAAACTGTTCCGAGTTGAAGGAGACTAACCAAACACAACACGTGACTCCAAAATGGAGCTTTGGATGTAAAGGAAATTATCTGGATACTTCGTGAAAGTTGACTGAGTTCCAAGAGCTGAAGTGACCTTAAGTTCCTGATTTTGATGGTTGTACTGTAAGTATGTAGGGGAATGCCCTTGTTGAGAAAAAAAAAATGCGTTGCTTTGAAGTATTTGGAGGTGACATTATGTCATGTCACCAATGTGTGCACCCAAATGGTTCCTGAAAAAAAATATATGTGTGCTCTACTTCCAAGCTTTCTAGAAGTTTGAGATTGTTTCAAAATAAAAAATAAATCAATTAACTGAAAAAGACACACAAAAAAAGGCCAATATGGCTAGAAATTTTGGACTTCGATTTCCACATTGGGACATAAAGAAGATAGCTGAAATCCATGAATCTCAGCTCCAGGTGTACTGTAACGTGCTAACTAGTCCCCAGGAATGACATACAAAGAAAAAACAATGTGCATTACTTTTCTATTGCTGCATTACCAAATTTGGTAGCTCTCAGTTTGGTAGGCCAGAAGTTTGTGATGACCGGAGTTTTCTGATAAAGGCTGAAATCAAGTTGCCAGCTTGTCGCCCCCACCTTCTTGCTGGCTGTCATCAGGAGACTGCTCTCAGCTTCTAGGGAATGTCCTCAGGTCCTTCCGTTACAGCCCCCTCTATCCCAGCAAGAGAGAGCCTCCCTTACATCAAATTTCTTTCACATTTTGAATTTTCTTTCTTGTCTGTTACTGTCCACAAAAAACTCTTTGCTTTTACGGGGCTCATACAATTAGGTTAAGTGAGCCAGAGAATTTTCCATCTTAATGGATTAGTAATCTTGATTATGTCTGCAATATCCCTTTTGCAGTATTATATAATGAAATCATGGGAGTAACAGCAGTGGGAAAGATTGTGGGGGCTTTCATAGAATTCTGCCTGCAACAGAATAGTTGAGAGAAATGAATTTGGGTCTGCTATCAATTAATATAGGTAAAGAAAAATGTATAAAAATCTGCTTCTCTGATTCATGAATTGGGGGTTGGGGAATTCTAGACTGTAGTCTCTGAGACATCTTCAGCAGTGAAGTTCTTTGATTTGTCTTTATTAGGCTGTAAGAGCAGGCAAGGACTGTTTCTGATTTACTGTTGCATTGCTAGCACTTACCCCAATGCCTCGAACCTAGTGGATGCTCCAGAATGAGGGTATAAATAAAAAATAATAAGTGAATAATTATATATGGCTGACAGAAATTTGTTTTCTTATTTGACTTATCAAAATCTTCAATACTGGTCCCTCAGGGGATTATTCTTCCAGAACAGCCAGGTTAAGAAGAAATCTGACAGTTAATTTCCAGTTCCATGTTGACTGATAATATTTGTGTGTATATGGAATTCTGAAGGATTTTTTTAAGTAAATGTAGTTTGCCAAGAAGAGTTGGAACATATCCATTTATGAACAGAAGACAAAAATATATTTAACTTGAAAAAATCTTATGATGCTATATTGTTCCAGTTAACAGATATAGTAATGAAAGCTTGAAACATTCCCATATAAGGGTCTAGTAGGTAATAATTTTAGATATTATTTTGGAAATAGTAATTTCTTTTTAATATTATGAAATGTGAATATGCTCAAGAAAAATTGGAAAATACAGATGGTATAAGGAAAATAAAGGTTATTCATTACCTACAAGTCAAAGATAATCGCTCTCAATATTTTGATACATATCCTTTCACATATTTTCCTCTGCACCTATGGATGTCAACACGTCAGCATATACACATCTAGTTTTATACAGATAATGCATTTCTATATAGATAGTTTGCTCTTTTCATTTAAAAGTATATTATAGATATATTTTCATAATAATAAATATGAATAATAATTTTAATAGCTGTGAGACATTTTATTTTATAGTTGTCATAACATATTTTATTTGGCCAATCTTTCCTGACATACTACTAAATAATTTCCAATTTTTCTAACAGTATACATATCACTTAAAATGAACATTCTTGTGCATCAATTTGTGAACTTTGGTTTAATTATTTCTGGAAAAATAAATATCTAAAAGTAATATTGGTAAGTCAAAAGATATGGAAATCTTGATATTTCCAGATTTCCCTCAGAAATGTTTGACCACATAAGTAGATTATAAAGTACCTGTTTGCCCTTGCCAACAATAGATATTATCAACTAAATGTTTAATATGTTCCAATTTGACATGCAAAAATGATATATTGTTTTAATTTGCATTTCTTTTGATACAGTATTTTACATCTTTATTTCTCTTTTGAGATTTAAAAAATATTTTAAGGTGACGTTTTTAAAATGGCCCTTAAACATTATTTTTTCTTATTATTTTGCCCGAAACTATAGTTTTATCTTTTAATATATTTGACATTTTCGACATCATTTTCAAGTGCAGTTAGTGTGGTGGGAAACCTCTAAGATGGTGCCCAAGGATCTTAGGCATCTGATATTCACAACCTGTAGGCTCCTACCCTTGAGTATCAACCGGCCCTGTGATTTGCTTCTTTGTATGCCCAGCCTAATATGGAAAGGGGAATGGAATATTGTTTCCATTATTAGATCATAAAGTCTCATGACTTCTAATTTGTTAGAAGATTCTCTCTGTTGCCTTCTTAGTTTGCATGCTGCCATGTTGGAGGGACCCTCCCTGGCAAAGAACTGAAGATAGCTTCTGGCCAAGAGCCAGGAAGGAAGGGTAAACAGCCCATGAGAAAATGATTTTTACCATCAGCTGTGTGGTCACATAAGTGGCTCCTTCCCAGTTGTGTCTTGGATGAGACCCCAGTTCTGGCTAATAACCTTGATTACAACCACTTCCATACCCACTCTTGCCATACCCATTCCATTATACAAAATGTTTCATAATGAACTTCCTCTGTGGAGCATTCATCTCCAATATTTACAATGTAAAGTTTCTGATGTACAGAACTGTAACTCTAGCTTTTATTTTATAAATACAGATTAAATATCTGTGTTAAAATTTCATAGTATGAGTTACTATATATTTTATGGCAATTGGGTGGTTTTAGTGTAATCAATGGAAATTTGGTCTCATGTTTATTTATTTTTGACAATTAAAAGCTTTGTAGATGAGCTGAAAGTTTCTTAGTCTGATGGATGGTGTTGGAAAAATAATAATTGTATTTACTTAGCATCTTCTGTAATGAGATTTTGTTTGCCTTATCAATTGCCTGATGTATTTGTGTCTTGTTTTTGTTAAAGAATTTATTGGAAATACACTCAACATTTTATTCTGCAGCTAGCACTGAGCTATTTAAGGACACTCCTTTGTTTTGATTTCATGATAGAGACTGGAAATTTTATCACAATTGATTTCCATGTACTTGTATTTATATATATATTATACATGTAAAATACACAGATATATTTGACAATATGCTTATTATGTGTCCTCATTCATCTAGATTCTGTTAAAAATAAAAGATAAATATCTTACTTTTTAATTCTGGCATGTATAATTCCCCTGGGGAATGCTCCTTGGGAGGGCTGGGAATTACATAAAGGCACCCCATTTTGTCTTGGGAGGATTTGAAGGCACCTCTGTTTCCTCACCTAGAATAACAACAGTTGTCTCTCAGCAGTTCTGTATTAAGGTGGGTCAAAGTAGTTAAAGATTTAAGCCATTTTATGAACATAAGGGAATTATCCATGAATGTCTCATTTGGCCCTCTGCATGTAAGGCATTGTCAGGGACCCAGAAATTGTAATTTAGGGCAAAAGGAGAAAGCCTCTCTTCCCTCCCACATTACCTTCACCTCCTTTACTCCTTGACTCCTGCCTTCCCCACATTAAATATCACCTCAAGAGATTCCTTTGAGAAAGGGAGAGTTACATTATTTTCTTTTCATTTAAATGCCCATTATTCCAGGAATTAGAGCAAAAATTTAATAACTCCTTATTGGGATTTTGTTCATACATTCACTAAGTGTAAGGTTCCACATTTTCACAAAATAATGAATTCAGTAGTGAACAAAATAGACTCGTGGTTTTATCTATCAAATACTTATCTATTTCTATTTTATTCTCATATAAAGGACATTGACAACCCAGGAATTGGAAAGGTGAACATTACTGATAGACTGAAGTGGGTCTGGGGGAAGCTTGAATGAATAAATGGATGGAAAAGAGGAAATAGACCACCTCATTTGCGACTGTACCCTAACCAAGCCACTTTTGAGTAACCACACATTCTGTTCTAAACAAAAGAGATTATTTGCTTCTCTTCTGCCCAAAATCAGATGCTTCTTTCTAGTATGAACTTTCAGCACTTTATTTATTTGGTTAAGAGAAGTCCAAAAATCCATGCTAAATATCAAGAGAATTCTTAGCCTTGGCAATTCAAAAAAAATAAATAAATAACACTTATGATGTCTCCTATGGAGGAGTCAAGAAATTAATCTACTTTTCACAAGTTCAGAGGAACAAAAGACTGTCTTCAATGCAAACTTCGAAGAATCTACATCTCAGGAAGAAGATGGGGACTGATCCACTTAGAGCAGCTCCAGTCCTCATTACAGAACACTGAAGTAGTAAGATGATACTTTAACAAAAGAAAACTGTCTTCGTGGATTTTCCTTGAGAAGTGATTAATATGTAAGAATAGACCACTGAGGGTTTCACTTCTACCTTCTCCATCTGATGACTTTCAGAATGACCATATATGCCATGCATGCTGATGGAGAGAAAGAACCATGGTTTGAAATCAGAACACTGGGATTCCACCCAGCAATGGTACCTATTCAATCTCTTTGAACCTCAGTTTTCTCTTTAGTAACAATCTCAGCAGGATTGTTTTGAAACGTTAAGATAAAAAGTATGAAAAGAGTTGCTGTACACATTACCCTTGTGATTTTTATTGCTCTGTATGTGTAAATTCCAGAACATTCTAAGAAAAGTAGCATGATTTAGTTATTCAAACACAGATACTGTGACAGAAATTTAACTCTGCCACTCATAAGCAGCATGACAAATTTAAATCTTCATTCCACTTCTTCAGGGTACATCCAAAGATATGCCTGCACAAGGGATCCCTGGAAAGCTTTTTTCAATTGACATAAAAATTTTAAAAAGACTTTGAAGTTTATCATGTACATTTTAAATATTAAAAGAATTCAACTAAAATATTTTTTCTAAAAATATATTTTCTTTAATCTACCACACAGAAAAACACCAGCCAGTCTTGTTATATAAATGATATCCTTTTAATTAATATGAGTCTTAAGAGAAGCCAACCGTTGAATTAGTTGTTGAATTAAGTTGCCATGTCCTTTGCAGTCAACAGAAAGTGACCGCAAAAACAGGTGAAGTTTGAGGTAATATTACTATCTGTTCTTGAAAAGATGTGAGGCAGTGAGATGAAAGGAAGAGGGAATCATAGCCACTTCTCTAGTTCCCAGAAGGATAGATACACTGTGATCATTAGGCTTCTCCTGCCTCTGAGGTTGCGGTGAGCTGAGATTGCGCCATTGCACTCCAGCCTGGGTAACAAGAGCGAAACTCAGTCTCAAACAAAAAAAACCATATGGGAACTATTCAAAATTAAGTTTATTTCAAACAACTAGAAAGTATAGAAGAATGTATTTGTAGTTTTAATTTTGGGGAGAAAATGGATTGTTAACTGCAATGTAAGCAAAGGACAATTCGATCTTGGAGAGTTTTAATGTGTGGCAGGTTAGAAACAAGAAAAAAAATTTCTTTAGTAGAGAAGCTCAAAAGAAACCAAACAGTTTTGCCATAGTCCTTGGTTTTAATTAGAAACATTTAATCTATATCACACAGAGAAAAAAATGCCCCAACCTACCTGATACATCTCAATTAGTGAAGTACTGCTTGTCCTTGCAGGATGTTGATGATTATATTTTTCTGTGAGTTTTGTGAAATGCTTGCTGAATCTGAAAGTAATTCAGTTAGTGTCAAGTCCCAGAAACTAACAAGACAGAGATACTCACCTACTTTCAATATATCATATGCGTCACTTATCATTTAGAAAGTACTCCTTTGGCTATCCTGGATAGCATTAGCAAAAGAAGTTACATTAACAGAAAATCCCAACATAGGGTAGAAATTAGAGGTAAAGGAAAGAAAATAAATCAAGGGAATGATAGAGGAAAAGCATGATTTAGTACCCTAACAAATGTCATTCTTCATTTTTAGTCACGATTAATATAGTATTATTTGCTTTTCTATAAATGTTCTGATAAAAACACAATAGCATTTGAATTAATTTTTAAATTTTAGTTGCTACATAATTTTTGGTGAACTATACTACAAACACAAAGAAAAAAAATCTAACATTTTAAACAAACAGCAGATACATTGCCATACCTCCTGCTTCGGAAGCACATTGTTCATACAATAAAAATGCCATATATTTTATTATAAAGATTTACTATTTGTAATTTATCAGATGACTGTACCCAGCTTTCCAGGAGCCATCTTTCATTCTGTGTTATCAAAACAGACAATTAACAAATATTTAGCAATAAAATATCTTCCTTGCAATAAGAAAAATCTTGACAATAAGACAACTTTTCCAGAGAAAAAACATTATTTATGTAGTATACATCAGCTGCTTCTTTAATCAAGAGACAGTTGGATAAAGAGGAGGCTTTCTGAGGCTGCTCCAAGAACAAATGCATCTTCATGATAGAGTGGTTCCCAAAATAAGCTGGCGTATTTGGCTTCTGTGTGTGGGTATATCGAATTTCCTGAGTGATCCTGCTGTCATTTTACACATGTCAGATGCACCAGATCAACAACCCAACAAACTGCCAGCATAGGTTGTTTCTCAGTAGCCCGATAGGAACTGCTTTTTTTTTTTTTGAGACGGAGTTTCGCTCTTGTTGCCCAGGCTGGAGTGCAATGGCGCCATCTCGGCTCACCGCAACCTCCGCTTCCCGGGTTCAGGCCATTCTCCTGCCTCAGCCTCCTGAGTAGCTGGGATTACAGGCACACACAACCATGCCCAGCTAATTTTTTGTATTTTTAATAGAGACGGGGTTTCATCACGTTGACCAGGATGGTCTCGATCTGTTGACCTCGTGATCCACCCGCCTCGGCCTCCCAAAGTGCTGGGATTTCAGGCGTGAGCCACTGCGCCCGGCCCGGAACTGCTTTTATGTGCCTCTCGGTTTACCTGATGACATTAAAGCAAACGAACAAACGAATATAACTCTTGCAGTAAGGCATCACAGACAACAGATTATTAAAATCCCATAGTTAAAAAAAAAAAAAAAAAACAAATGAAGCCAACAATCGGGCTCCCTTAGCTGAATTTTAGAGACATACAGGAAATCAAACTGCAATTGAGATGGTAACCTAGGTTATATCTGGTTAATGTTCAACTTCAGAAATGAAATTTTAAAGATTATCTAATAGCTGAACTACATTTTCTTAAGATCTCATTATCTTCTGAAACTAATCTTTAAACTCAGATTCAGAAGGTGTCACTGGAATTTATTTTTATTAAAAGAAATAGCAAATTTTGCTGCAGGGAAATCTTTAGAGGCTATTAACAATTTGATGTTTTAAATGCTAAAACATAATGTCGCATTAATTTTAATACAATATTGAGTACAGAAGTGAAGCTAAGTGTGTAGTTGTAAACTTACCACCTTGCTAATTCATTTTAGAATTCAAATGCCTGTTAGATCTTGAATATGTTTCAATAAATTTTTAAAATTATTTCTTTAAAAGAATATGTTTCTCTAGTGTAATACTTACCCCTCATTACCAAATATAATTTGGTTTACAAAATATTGATTTAGTTTATCAGGAGTACATCTATATTATAAAAGAAAGTATGAGAAAAATGATGGTATAAAATGAGAAATATATGTATTGGATATGAGGATGAATGGACTCAGAAACTTAGGAATATCATTAAAATGTATGACTACATCTCCATTTTTATACATAATTTAAGAGCATATGGAAAATAGCAATATATGTAGAGTCCTATTTACTGGGCTCTCTCGGTTTACCTAATGACATTAAAGCAAACCCAGGATGGCTGGTCTCAAACTCCTGATCTTGTGATCTGCCCACCTCGGCTTCCCAAGGTGCTGGGATTACAGGGGTGAGCCACTGCACCCAGCTCATTATTATTTCTATGGTTGAATAATCAAATGAGAAATTTATGTGAATTATATACAAAGTATGTGCAAATATGTACCTGCATTGGATAGTGTTAGAGCTCCCCAGGTATATTTCACCCTTTCCCGCTATGTAGTAGCCCTGGAATTTGAGTGGGTTGATCCCACTGGCAGCAATAAGGGTGGGTTCTGATGGATCATTTCTCATTGCCACAGTGATTGGTTTCAGGTGGGCATATATTTCAGATTGAAGCCAGTCAACACGTCCTCAGTCATAGTGATTACCTATTTAGGATCAGTCAGTTAGAATAAAACATAGGACTTCAGTTCTAAGGTCATGGAAAACAAGTCTTTATCTCTGGCCATGAACAAAGTCATCTGCAGCCCAGTTCTGCTGGCAGCCATTCCATACCCACAGGAAAGCCAGCCCTCAGAAGAAGCCATACTGTTTATAAAAAGATACCACATGCTGATAATATCAATGATTAACCTTGAAGTATCTTTAACTTCTGGACTTGCTAGTCATATGAGCCCGCAAATTCCCTTATGAGTTAACTAAAATTAGTCACCATTTCTGTTAATTGTAGCTGAAAGTATTATCCTTCACAATACAATAGCCATCAAAACATCTTCATCTATTTGACAGCAAGCCATATCCTGGAAGATGATTTTCAACAAATGTCTTCTTAGGATTCCCTACTGTCTTGTTTCTTTCTACTTATCTGAGACCAGATTCTTTATTGAAAGTATATGAAAATGATTTTTATGAAATATTTAGAAAAATTATATTTAATTTTACAGCTAATAAATTTTAAAGAAATGTTATTAGAGACATAACTAGGGACATAAAGAACATGGATTCCACAGAACCTAGACTAGCAAAGCATTAGAAAAGACGCGAAGAGTATTTAAAACATTGACAGCAGAAACAACCTAGAAGACATTTCTTGGTAAGGATAGCAGTCTAACAAATATATCTTGAAACCATGACCGTTTTGAACCATGCCTATCTCTAACAGCTTGCATTGTGATACAAGACAATGATAAATGTTTTCAAATAAGTGATTTACTCTCAAGAAGTAAATGTTATAAAGAAAACTAAATCAATCCTAGGAAAACCATAAATAGGTACTCACCAATACAGTAGTCAAATTTTAAGGAAACAGTGTATATAAGCAAAAGAATGAATAAAGATTGTGCTGTAAGCTGAACAGTTGTTTCCTGGGTAAAAATCAACAATAATACAAAAAATGTAAGTGTGTGAACTAGGCATTTATTGGTAGGAAGTAAAAGGAAGCAATTCTGGCTAGAAGAGAAAAAAAGGAATTGATTGTTCACATATTGGGGCTCATGGAATCAAGAAAAGGCTGAGTTAGGTTTAGAAATGAGCAGAAACCAAGTCCACTCCCGAGACTAAGAAGTAAGACTTAAAACAGGAAAAGTTAGATCAGAATGCTGCTGTTTAAAGACAAGATGGAGGTTGGTGGTGACCAAATGAAAGCTGTTTCAGAAGAGACTGTGAATATTCGATTGGAGAGGATTGAAGAGGGAATGGAAGATAAGCTATTCTTCTGCAGAATTTTTCTCGAAAGGGAGCACAGAAAGAGAGAAGGTCAAGAGGTTTGTTCGTCTTTATGGTGCTGCTTGAGCATGTTTCTGTGTCGACGGGGCTGAATCACTGGCGGCAAACTTTTACCTGCAAGCACCCCAAAGCTGGTTGCTTCTCATCCTTCACATCTCTGCTCTATGTCACCTCCAGGTCCTGGTCTGATGACATTGTTTTATTTTCTCAATAGCACTTGTCTCTGTCTGTAATTATCTTCTGTATTTGTTTGATTGCCCTTTACCAACTAAAGTATAAAATTCATGAGAGCTGCAACTTTCTCCTGCTTATCACTGTCATACAAGCATCCAGAACAGTGTCTGTTGCAAAGCTGAGCCTTAATAAATACTTGTAGCATAAATTAAAAAACAGATAGCCAGAACTTCAACTGTTTCTTTCTTTCTTATATTACCTGTTTGAGATTCAAAGACCCAGGATTCGGTTGCTGATGAAAAAAAGCTGTGTAGTCCTTTGTCTGGATAGGGTCTGCACTACCTTAGGTTATTTGACGGGGGCTAAGCAACTGAATTTACTGTCAGTCCAAAGCCAACTAAGAGGGGAGAGAGGCCATTCTCACAGGAAAGTCAAATACTGCTAGGAATCTCCAAATGACAAATGCTCGATGCAGTAAAGCACAGTAAGGAAGGTGAAGAAATGTTCATTTCTTGCCACAAACAAGCCAGAAATAAAAAGTTTACATTCCGGTTCATCCATTAACAGCTGTCAGTTTCATCCCTAGGTTTCCAAAAGAAAAACTTTAGGATCAAGGGTATAGACAAGTCTTTCTGCTTATACAGATAAACATCTCTCTCCATCAAAACAGGCTGGGAGTCTGGAGATAATTAGACCCACTGTGTCAAGCAATCAGCAACACAGGGAAGAGGTCAGAAAAACAATGACAAGCGACCTGGCTAATTCTTAAGAGAAACAGAGGAAGGCCTTTGCAATCAGTTGGAAGATGTTTTGGCTGTTGTGGTCATGGCCTAATTTGTACTTGTCTGCCTGCTGTTACTTTGGTTTCTCTGTCACTTTCGCCCTCTCCTCTTGTCCTCCCCTAGCATGGACACACTCCCCTAGCATGGATCACGATGAAAACGTAGTAAACTTTCCCAGGTCAGCTTTGGGAAAGGCAGTCATTTTCCTCTACAAGATTCTACATCCACAAGAGGAACACCTAGGAGGTGCTCCTGTTTGCTTTTATTTACCTATTTCTTTTCAGTGCTTGGGATATGTTAAATTAGAAAAGCTTTTTGGAAATCCCAGACCTGCTTCATTAATTTTTTCCGATAAGACATTAGTGGCTACTAAAACAGTAACATAATAGAATGAGCTCTACAAGGGCAGGGACGATGTCGATTTTATTCATGCCTAGCACTCTGCCTAGCACAAAGTGAGTTTTCATGAAATATTTGGTGAATAAACAAATAAACACACAAATGAAAGAGTAAGCAGACAGATGGAGCTGAAGGACTGTTTTCCAAGCAGAGACTTTGCAGACCTCCACCACAGCTGTCTCTGTTCTCCTCAGCCACATCACTTCATTGTAAATCTATTATCTCATCTGTCTTGCCCTTTTCTCACTGCAATGGTCTCCCTTCCAACCTCCTTTCTGGTCCTAGTGGTATTTACTCATCTAAGTTAGATAAGACATCCTGATAAGTATGAGCCTTGGAACATATAAAATATGCATATTCCTTGTTATAGCCATATTATATGATTTCTGATTCTAAGAAAAGATATATTTTTGACAGGCTACAGGTAAATTTTACTGCTAAGAATCTCCAAATGACAAATGCTCAACCCAGTGAAGCACAGTAAGGAGGGTGAAATTTAAAATCATGTTAATGGTAGAAGTGTCAATGATTTATACGTATTTCTAGAAGTTTTGTTATAATACCTCCTTGTTTTCTTTACAGTTAGAGGAGGGGAAATGTAGTTTTTTTTAAACTACAGCTCAACTTTTTAAAATAAAATCATTTGAGTAACTTTCATGAGTACTTTTTCTTAATTATAAAAGAACAATACCACTAATTTTATCAGTTAGCTTGTTCAGAATTCTGTAGGTCAATATGCCTTTAATGACCCAGCCAATTTCCTCACCACCACCTTCTGAAATCCTTCCCATGCAGTATTTTTTTTAAAGAAGGAATGGGAATGGAAAAGTCACTTTGTTTTTCAAGGACTTTTTTAAAGTCTGCTTTGTACTAGCTATATCTCTCCACCTCTGTTTTTGATCAGCAAGATGTATGATAAGATTAATAACCATTATAAATAATTAGTGCCTACAGTGCCTTTCACCAGCCATTATTGAGATGACTTTTCTTTTATAAAATATTATGAACCCACTACATGGTGAACATCTAGACATTCCTCTAAAGTGAATTAAAATGTAATCTACTCTGTGGGTTTTTTTTTTTTTTAATAAGATGAGCTAAAGAAACAGAACAAAACATTAGAGCTAGAAGGGAAGACAGAAATAGTTCCAGTCATTCTTTCCTAAAATAACAAATCCAAAGCACAGGGAGAGGTAATACGACTTGTGATCCCCTGCTGCAGTTGAGGTGTGACAATTTGCAAAATACCAGCTAGTCAGGCGCAATGAATCACTTATGCACTCCTGTGTTAGGAAAGAAGCATCCATGAGAATATGGCCAGGTGGGGTCTTCTATCTGGAGCCCAAGGGTCTCAGGAAAAGCAGATCATCGCCCTAAGGGGTTGGTCTGTGGTGGAACCACTGACTGCTTGTAAACCAATGCGTTTCTGGGTGTGCACTCCTCTCAGACAGCAGTGTGACTGTTTCCTTAGTATTGGTTCTGGATGTAAACATGCCTGTGTTTGAGCATAAAACCAGTTTCTGTTCCACTTTGAATGAGTTTTCCAGAAATGATGACCATGTGGTGATTCTTCACCTATTCTCATGCCTGGATCTGATTTGTGAGATGTTTTGAGGGGTTACTGAGGCTTTATAACCGAGATTTATTTTGTTGGGAAATTAACTGTCTTTTCCACAGCCATTGTGGTAGCCTAGCAACAAGAGACAGCAGAGCAATAGCAGGGATGCTAAAACTCTAAGGAATGATGCCTGTTGACATCTCTCCCAGGGACAGGGGATCCCAGTGGGCCTGACTTGAGATGGGACAATGCCATAGCAAGATATCTGTGTTCTCAGAATCTGACACCCCAGAGAGAAGCAGGTAAGTTCCCAGCTCCTCTCATCCCAAAATAATTCATGGGAATTTCTGTATAAAGTAGCTTTTACTCAGTACTTCAAAGAAAATCTTTCTTTAAAGTTTGGGGAATAACAACAGATTTTATTCCTTTCCTGGAGAGTGACTCCCTTACTTTGAAAGCCACTGTCTTCCCAGATCATAGAGCAGGGCCTAACACACAGAAGGGGTTCAATAAATATTTGTTGAACAAATAAAATGTCCCTTACTTGGTCTTCTCAGAAATCACAACTCACTCACCCCAGCCATTTTACTGAAGTGGGAATGGGGAGGGTAAGAAGTCAGCCTTCTTTCAGTTGAAATGAAATGTCATCTTCACTTTCTTGCCAAGAGATGCACACAGAGAAAGGTGGATCATTCCTCCTCTACATAATCCCCACACAAAAACCTAAATCAACACTGGCTAGAAATATGGAAGTACAGTTCCCCTCTCTAATTGATTTGCATTTAATTAGTAGAAATTTTACATGTTGACACTATACTCATTTCCCTTTCAAATGTGGAAATATCTTCCATTTAAATTTTTGTTTTAAATCTTTTTTTTTTTTTTTTGAGACGGAGTTTCGCTCTTGTTGCCCAGGTTGGAGTGCAATGGTGCGATCTCCGCTCACGGCAACCTCCACCTCCTGGGTTCAGGCAATTCTCCTGCCTCAGCCTCCTGAGTAGCCGGGATTACAGGCATGCACCACCATGCCCAGCTAATTTTTTGTATCTTTAGTAGAGACGGGGTTTCACCATGTTGACGAGGATGGTCTTGATCTCTTGACCTCGTGATCCACCAGCCTTGGCCTCCCAACGTGCTGGGATTACAGGCATGAGCCACCGCGCCCGGCCTATTTTAAATCTCGAGTGAGAGGTGACCACATCTCTGTAGCAGAGCTACATCCTATAAGGCAGTATCCTTATGGGATGTTCACATGCAACCATGATTCTGCTTTGTTAAGTTTTTGTTTGTTTGTTAATTTTTGAGATGGAGTCTCACTGTCGCCCAGGCTGGAGTGCGATGGCGTGATCTCAGCTCACTGCAACCTCCGACTCCCGGGTTTTAAAACTTAACAAAGCAGGGTGGGCCTGTGATGAACAAGTTTCAGATGAATAGCCCAGTGTACAGTCAACAGAAAAAAACAAGTGAAAAGCGGGACTATGCTCTCACTGTAAATTATTGTGAGTGTTTTTTACTCCTGGTGTATGGAGCTGAATGTTCTGTGCTGATAGAAAGCTGGGCTTTTGAGGCAGGAGACAGGGGAGTGTCGTGCTATTCCTGTTGATCTTTAGGTAACTTCAGTTCAGCTTCTTCACTTCGAAGCAGGAACTGGTCCCATGTGTTTTGTTTGCCTTCCCTTCTTCTTTCCCTTCTACTTTCCTCTTCTCATGCCCTTGAGACAGACCTTCTCCACAGTTTACATAAACTTAATGGGAACTTGCTCCTACTCTAAGTAAGGGAGAGTTAGGCCCTGGATCCAATTAATCTAAGGAACAAAACAGAATTTTCCCAGGAAATCCTCTCCTATAAAAATTAAGTGCGCAATAGCTGTATTTCCTAGCCAATTTTAATAAAATCCTTTATTCACCCAGACTAATTGGTGACTAATTAGTCCTCCAATTTGACATAAAAAGCATGAAGTAAAAAGTTTAGAAAGCAGATAGAAAGGAATTTCATTTAAAGGAAGAAATTTCAGTGTTCTTATAACACACTGAGAAAAAGCTATGTAAGATTGATATGCCCCTGCCAACAGAAATTTAAAGAAGTTTTTCCAGGTTTCCAATGAACCCCGAAGTAAGAAAACATTGCAATAAAAACAAGCTTCATAAACACATTGGTTAATTATTTTTTTTATCTGAAGGCTAATAGGCTTTCTAAAGCTTTCTTCCCCCCTTAATTATTGTACAACATGACTTCTCCTGTGTACGCTGAGTTACCATGGTTACTCTGAGGCCATGACTCATGACCTTTAAATATAATTGTCAGGCAGCCAAAGCTCTCATTTTTAAATCAGGAGTTTTGTTTCAGGCATTATTTTTTAAGTAGTCTCAAACTGTACTTTCTGTGGTGTGTTTGTGGCACATCTGATTACGCACATAAGGGTATTGCACTCACATATTTTGTTTTGCTTGGTTTCATTCAGTGACTGAATATGACTTCCTTGCCTAGCATGAAAAATAAAGCACAGTCCTTGTCCTCTATGAGGGTGTTACTGAGAAAATGCAAAACACAGGTACACACATCATTACATACATCATGAACCGTAATAAGGCCTCTAAAAGGTGGATGTCTGAAACCTGCTTGTGGAGTACAGAGGCAAGAAACATTTCTGACCAGTAGGGTCTGAGGGCCTTCAGGGAGAGGCAGCATTCTAGTTACGGTGTGAAGAAATGGTAAGATTTCAACAAACAGAAAAGAGAGTATGAGTGTTTTGGCCGGAGGAAACAACTAAGAAAAGGGTAAGCATGCACTCTGGACTGAGAGGCAGTGCAGTTGAGGGAAAACACCCGTTTTGCGAGTTTCACTCATAGAAGATGAAATTAGTTAGAAGGCTCAGTTTATTAAGCTCCTTTAAAGCCATTTGTTGGTTTGTTCAGCAACTGCAGTGACCTGGAGTTTGTTTTCCATTTCACGATAAAGAGGTATTGTCAAGTAGAAAGTACCAAAATACTGTTTTTCTGCTGGTTTGGGTGTCACACGAGAAAAGCAATTACATCTCTCAGGGCCCCAGTGTCTCCTTCCACTAAGTGAGAACTTAATTAATTTTGTTCAGTAGTCACTGATTACTTTGTGAACATTTTTAAATGGTTTCAATTTTTTTAAAAAGTGAGTAAAAGAGAGAAATGTTCACAGAAATATGGAAATAAGACAATATATTCATGAGGAAGATAGTGGGACAGAAAATAATAAAAGTACCTTGGGATTTAAAAGTAAGGCTTTATTGATTGACAACAACAGAAAGAAATATATTGTCTATGAGGTTTATTAGATAATTCATTTAACAAATATTTGTTGACCATCCTATCCTTCAAGATGCTGAGAGTGGAGTAGCAAAAACAACAGAAAAAATTTCCTGTCTTCAAGGAGTTTACATTTTCAGTTGGGAGATGACAAAAAAATATAATAAATAAGAAAACTCTTTAGAATGTTAGAATATGGTAAGTATTACAGAGAAAACAGTATGGTGATGAGGTGAGGGGTTAAATTTTAAATGAGATACATATGGTAGGTCTCGCAGAGTTGATGACATTTGAGCAAAGACAAGAAGGAAGGAAGAGTAAGCCAAGTGGATAGACTTCGAGAAAGTGTTCCGGGACCCTGGGATGTTCTGGCAACTGAGTGAAGAAAGTATTTCGGAGAGTGAAGAGTCATGCCAAAACCTGTTAAGATGAGTTGTGAAAAATAATCACTGGGAATAAGAATGCAGAGATCTCTTCACATGTACCCGAAAACCTAAAATGCAATAAAAAAAAGTTAAAAAAAAAGAATGCAGAGATCTTAGGTGAATTTGAAAAGTGCAGTTTCTGTAGAGTGGTACTAGTAAGAGTAAGCCAATTGCAGTGACTTCAGCAAAAAAAATAAATAAATAAAAATAAAAGAGAAGGAATTGGAGACAATGAGAATATAGTTTTGCTGTAACCTGAATTGCAAAAAGAGGTCAGTGTAATCAAGTGGATACTAAAGTGGTAAGTCTCAAGTCATGATAACTAACAACATGTTTATAAGTTAATGGAAATGATCGAGGAGATAGAGAGAGGAGAGAGAGGGAGAGAGAACAGTGTAGGAGACAATGAATTCTCCACGTCTGCTGATTCTTAGGGGGTTATGCTTTCCTCTCTCCACTTTTTTTTTTAGTTGAGTTACAAGATTTTGCAGGTTTTCAGAACAGATTGTACTGTTCAGACTACTTATTCTCCAGAGAACCTTTGAAGGCTATTTTATCTTCTGCGAGTAAAGTTTACATTCCATTATTTTTATTTCCTTTAGAAATGTCCAGAAATTGACATTTGGAGGAAATACTTTAGAAAATTTATTTTAAATGTTACAGTGTAACAATCTATTCAATGTAGATGGGGGCGGGGTGTGCGCGCACATGTATGCCTGAAATAAAATTTTGGAATTCTAAACTTTTACTTTATTTCAGCATGGCCTCTGGAAGTTTAGAATCAGATACACAAGAAAACAAAACATCGGTAAGAAAGGTAGTTTGTATGAATTCTTTGTTTTAAAAAAATAATTACTGGTAATGAAAATGACTTCTTTAATTATTATTGAGGTTTTCTTGATATTGTTTAGTTTTCACATTTTACTAGTAAAGATTTTAGAAATAAAACATAGGAAGTTGTTTTCCAAGAAGAAGACTGATGTAAAATGGGGTGGAGTGGTAACTATGGGATTTTACTGAGGCTTTGGAAAAGTTACATATGATATGGCATGGCCTTTCTCATTTTGACATGTGATAAACACCACACTGCTCCTACAATACTGTAGACATCCTGGGCTATTTTTTAAAATGTCAGCTTGTATATGAGGAAACCCTAGAATTCACACATTAATGATATACATCAGTTACAACACATTATTTGGTTTAGCTAGACTTCGGTTTAAATCACAGTCTATTCCAGATATATCTAGTTTTATTCTCTTTCAATTCAGCTTATGACATGTCTAGCTCTGACCCTTGAAGGCTTCTGACACTGTGAGCTCCATTATGTCCTGGGAAAGCTGGGTCCTTTCTACCTGAGCAACATTGAGTCCCTCCCTAGGCCTAGGGTGAAACGTGGGTTGCTGAGAGGTGCTGGAGCTGAGTGATGGGTACACAGAAGGTCATTATACCAGTTCTCTACTTTGATGTAAGTTTGAGGGTTTGTCTTTAAAAAGAAAAAGTTAGCTATCTATATTTCCCCCAATCTCCTTTAATTCAGGTTGAAGACCCTCTGGAGTCCACCAGAGACATTTCTGGAAAAATCTTTTCAGCTCTAATGTAGAGGCATTGTAGTATGGAGAAAATTACAGGACTAGGAATCAAAAGACTTGGAATGAGGCCAAAATTTGCCATCTCTAAGCTGTTTGATGATAGCCAAGTCATTTAAACTCTTGAACCCTTATTTTTCATCTCTAGAATGAAGATAATGAGGCTTAACTAGTCTACTTCAAATAAGATTTTGGGGATGTGAAAATGATTAAGTACCTGAAAGTATGCAGGAGCATGGTTATTCAAAGTGATAGCATTCCACTGGCCTCCCCTTTGGGCCAGGGGACTTTGTTCTTTAATTTCTCTATTACTTTCTGGATTCAACAGGTCTGCTCTATCACTCCCTTCCAATCCCAGCATTACTAGCTGTATTGGTTCATTCTCGAACTGCTATAAAGAAATACCTGCGACTGGGTAATTTATAAAGAAAAGAGATTTAATTGGCTCTTGGTTCTGCAGGCAGTACAGGAAGCATGGTGGCTTCTGCTTCTGGGGAGGCCTCAGGAAGCTTCCAATTATGGCAAAAGGCAAAAAGGTAGCCAGGCATCTTACACAGTAGGAGCAGGAGCGGCATAGAGAAAGGGCCGATGCTACTCACTTTTTAGCAACCAAATCTCCTGAGAACTCACTCACCATCATGAGAATAGCACCACGGTACCAAGATGATGGTGCTAAATCATTCGTGGGAAACTGCCTCCATGAGTCAATCATCTTCCACCAGGCCTCCACCTCCAACATTGGGTGTTATAATTCAACATGAGATTTGGTTGGAGACGAAGATCCAAATCCCATCACTAGCTAAGAACAATTGATTCTTACAAGGTATATATCTGGAACCTCACTTCTGTGCAATTATTTTTGTTCATAAAATGCTAACATCTCTTGTCTCAGTGTAGTTCATTTCACTTCATCCTAGACAAACTGGACATAGCTGTCAAATTTATAGTTTTCAGAAAGAGAATTACTCTTGAAGAAATATTAGCCAAAGGCAAATCAAATTAGTTTGGTTTCAATTAAAAATGTATTATCTAACTCTAATGATAATTTAATCTTAAGTTGCTTTTTTTAAGCTAAGAAAACCTAGTAATGAAGTTTTAGTTCATTTAATGGAGCTGTTTATGATTCTGTTGCTTAAAGAATGTCTCTCACTGAACCATATGAAAATAATTTGTCTCTGGTTGGTGAGGACCCTTGAATTTGGGACATGGGAGTCTTCAGGGCTCCAATCTCTACTTAACTGCCCCATCCTTTAAGGATGCTGATCAACCAGCACCCTAGAAGTAACCCTCTCATGGGTAGTATCTACACTGAAAAGGACAAGATGCCAATTATCCACCACATTTAGGATTTCTGCCCAGGGCTCCAATTAGCTTCCTGGAGTTCAGAATCGATCCCCTCCCAATTTTCATTTGACAAGGTTGGGAGCCCTGAGGCTTGAAGGAATTGGTTCTGCTTCGGTTTCTGATTTATATATACATATACATATACATATACATATACATATACATATACATATACATATACATATACATATACATTTCGAAAAAAATACATTTAGCTAGAGGAATTTGGGATTAGAAAACTCAGGGTGGTGGGGATATCCATGATTACTGCTGCCTTCTTCCACAGCACAGTCCCTTTTAAGTCAAGGAACTCATAGAGCACAGAACTCAGCAGAATGGATTCTGCTGTGAACCATGAGGAACCAAATTGCAGGTGGATCTCAGTTGCCCCTTTTAAATAATTACTTTTAGTTTTGGTGGAGAACACAGAGATGAGAAAATCTTTTCAACTCTTTGAAGATTTGTTGACCACCAAGCAGAATTAACCATGCTCTCTCTGCCTTTGTGTCATGGTGGTTCTTTATTTGCCTTTACTGCACTACTCTCTGAATCTACGTTGACTTGTGGACTTCCGTAGTAAACTGTGCATTCCTAAAGAAAGGATTGGATTTTATTAGTCTCTGGAACAAAATTTCAGACATCAAAATGGCTCTCAACCAATATCATTTGAAATAAAACAAACTGATTGAGCTCCAGGAATAGTAGCACATGGTTAAAATTCCCTGTCCCTCTGAATCCATAGAGCAGCCTATGAGGGTGACGTCTGGCATCATCGTTGTTATATTGATAATTTTCTTCCTGTTATTATTATTACCAATTTAGAAATTGAGATTCAGGGAGATTCAAGGACCTCCAGATGTTAAGTGATCAAAGAATATGTGTTTACTTTATAACAGGAACCTTATGGGGCAATCCAGTAAGAGTTTATTTAAATCCACACTCAGATTCCAGGTAGTCCCTATTAATCTCAACCCTATCTATTCCTTGGGCCTGCTGAAGAATTAGAATGTTATTTAAACGATTGCTTTTGTTGCATTTTAACATCTTCTGACAGAATAGCTAGTGCATATAAATTATCTCATTTGAAATTGTTTAGGAAATACAAATTCTATTGCAAGAAGGGTTGGCCTAAATTGGATCAGGACTGCTCCCTCTGAACTATTTCTGAGAATCTAAACACATAAAAATGAGCAGTTTAAAACACATAATGTCATTAGTTATGTGGCATGGTACAGCTAAAAGTAAGACTATGGGTGTGAATTCATTAGCTCTAGAATATATATGAAGTATTTTACTCAGTGTGCAAAACTAGGTTTATTATAAAATCCCATAAGCCGTTTAACTTTAAAGTAGTAATTTAGTGATGACTTTATTAAAGAATTATTATTTTAAGTGCCAAAGACATGAAAGCACTTTTTGGTTTTTAATTTGTAACATCAAATCATAGTCCTCTATATAGGAAATCAACTATACAAAGTGACCCTAAAGTAGCTAGAAGATGTTATATTTGATAAGTTGGGGAAAGCAAGCAGTGTCTTAGGTTGCGTCAAATTATATAAATTCAGTTGTTCTTTTAATACTTAGTGTAATACACGGTTACTTTTGCTGGAAACATACATTTGTTCATATTTCTGATATCTATAAATGTTAACATTCTAAGATGACTTTCAAAAGATCCTTCTCTTTGATGACAAAACTTTCAAATCATTAATGAATCAAGGTTATTACTATGTCAGTTGTGTTTTTTTTTTTAATTTTTTATTGGATTTTAGGTTTTGGGGTACATGAGCAGAGCATGCAAGACAGTTGCATAGGTACACACATGGCAGTGTGCTTTGCTTTTCTTCTCCCCTTCACCCACATTTGGCATTTCTCCCCAGGCTATCCCTCCCCACCTCCCCCTCCCACTGGCCCTCCCCTTTTCCCCCCAATAGACCCCAGTGCTTAGTACTCCCCTTTCTGTCTCCATGTGTTCTCATTTTTCATCACCCACCTATGAGTGAGAATATGCGGTGTTTCATTTTCTGTTCTTGTGTCAGTTTGCTGAGGATGACCTTCTCCAGATTCATCCATGTCCCTACAAACGACACAAACTCATCATTTCTGATTGCTGCATAATATTCCATGGTGTATATGTGCCACATTTTTCCAATCCAGTCTATTATCAATGGGCATTTGGGTTGATTCCAGGTCTTTGCTATTGTAAAAGTGCTGCAACGAACATTCGTGTACATGTGTCCTTATAGTAGAACGATTTATAGTCTTTTGGATATATACCCAGTAATGGGATTGCTGGGTCAAATGGAATTTCTATTTCTAAGGCCTTGAGGAATCACCACACTGTCTTCCACAATGGTTGAACTAATTTACACTCCCACCAACAGTGTAAAAGTGTTCCCTTTTCTCCACATCCTCTCCAGCATCTGTTGTCTCCAGATTTTTTAATGATCGCCATTCTAACTGGCGTGAGATGGTATCTCAATGTGGTTTTGATTTGCATCTCTCTGATGACCAGTGACGATGAGCATTTTTTCATATGATTGTTGGCCTCATATATGTCTTCTTTCGTAAAGTATCTGTTCATATCCTTTGCCCACTTTTGAATGGGCTTGTTTGTTTTTTTCCTGTAAATCTGTTTGAGTTCTTTGTAGATTCTGGATATCAGCCCTTTGTCAGATGGGTAGACTGCGAAAATTTTTTCCCATTCTGTTGGTTGCCGATCCACTCTAGTGACTGTTTCTTTTGCCGTGCAGAAGCTGTGGAGTTTCATTAGGTCCCATTTGTCTATTTTGGCTTTTGTTGCCAATGCTTTTGGTGTTTTGTTCATGAAGTCCTTGCCTACTCCTATGTCCTGGATAGTTTTGCCTAGATTTCC